GACCTACCAAAACTCAGCAAGAACATCAAGCTGCTGTAGATCCATTCCCTCCCTTACCACCTGCCTCCTGGAAACCCCAAGTCATCTCAGCTTGGCCAAAGCTCCTCTCTGGGCAAATGTAGCAAAGATGGGGCTCCCTTTCCCCTCAGCTCCCAAATAAGGGTCACTGTATCTCATCTGAAGGGCAAGCCGCCAGCTTTTTTAATGCCCTTCAACTCCAAACTTAGGCAGCTAAATTCTGATGAGTGTGGCTAAGAAGTCGAGGGCTCTCTCCTTCCACTGAGGCCCATTAGATGAGGTCTCTACCCCAGGAATGGTAGGTCAGAATATTAAGGCCTTATCTTTAAGCCAGCTCACTCATAGGGCAGAGCTGTAAGCAGCAAACCCAGAAGACTAGCGGCTATTGTCCCACCCAGAACTCAGAGGCATGGCCCAGAGATTTGTCCAGGGGGAGAAGCAATCCATAAGAGAGGAGAGTTTCAAACATCTCCCCAAAGGAAATGACTTTATTTGAAAAAGAGTGGAGAAAATCAAGCCTTAGGGCACTCTTGAAGACAACAGCTCCTCTTAAGAGCAACAGGTAAATTGGAGGCCAGCTAGTTCACCAGAGAGAACCAGGGAAAGAAACAGCTTAGAAGGACCCTCCCCTGATAAGAATAAGTCTCAAAAGGCCTCAGAGCCACCCCTGTCCAAATTTAATTCTAGCAGACCGCTGAGCAATTCATGCCCCAGAGTGTGTAAAAAGCAATGGAGAAATCAACCAGTAATTGGTGGAACCTAAGGGTTGGGTATAATACCAAATGAGGCAGATAGCCTATCAGAGAGATTAGGAAAAGAGACAGTCAAAAAGAGCCCTGCTAAAACCACTTGTCATGTGTGTACATGCCCAAGACTGCACCCTCTGAGGAGCGACATTAGGGGCTTCATGCTTTGGGAAAAACAGACTTCACTAAGTAGTCCAGCCAGGTCACTAACAAATAAACAAGCAAAGAATGACAACAAAAATTCCTCTGGGGAAGGGAGACAGGAATCACTTTCCAGAATTGCTATACTATCTAAAATATCCAGTTTCTAATTTAAAAAAATTATGAGATCTGCAAAGAAATAGGAAATTGTGGCCCATACACAAGATAAAGAGGAGGCAACAGAAACTAACTTTGAGAGGGACCAGATGTTGTATTTAATAATCACTTTCAAAGAAACCATTATAAGTATGTTTAAAGAACTAAAGGAAACCATACTTAAAAAGAAGGTATGAAGAAAATATATCATCATTGAGAATGTATCAATAAAGAGGTAGAAATCATTAAAAAAAGAACCAAATGGAAATTCTGAAGTTGAAAAGTACAATAACTGAAATAAATATTGCATCACAGTGACTCAGTAGTTGACTTGAACTAGGAGAAGAAAGAATCAGTGAAGATGAAGATTAGAAGTTATGCAATCCAAAAAAGAGAGAAAATAGAATAAAAATAAATAAATTGAAAATGTGGGACAGTTTTGTGTCCACAGAAACTGAAGAGAAATAGAAAGGAATAGAAAAAAACATTCCAAGAAATAATGGCTGAAAATTTCCCACATTGGATGAAAATCATTAATATACACATCCAAGAAGCTCAATGAACTCTAGGATAAATGCCGAAACTCATATCCAGACATACAGTAAAAATGCTGAAAGAAAAAGACAAAGAGGAAATCTTTAAAGCAGCAGAATAACTTGTACAATGAAGCCCCAAAAGGTCAAAAACTGACTTCCCATAAAACAAAACATGGAGACTAGAAAGCAGTGGGATGGCATATTCAAAGTTCTGAAAGAAAAATAAAAGGCCTTTCAACCTAGAATCTTATATCTAGGAAAACTTTCTTTGGAAAATAAAGGCAAAACAAAGGCATTTTGAGATAAACTTAGAGAATTAATTACTAGCAGACCCATGTTATAAGAAATATTGAATAAAGTTCTTCATACTGAAAACCAAACCCAAATGGGAATCTAACTCAGTAAGAAAAACAAAAAGCAGTGGTGAAGGTAGTTATGTAATTATAAAAGACAATATAAATGCATCTTTCTTCTCCTTCTTTATGATTTAAAAAGCAGTTGTTTAAAGAAATATGTACATAATTGTTTTATTGGGTTTATAACAGATAGAAATGTATATTTGAAAATAACAGCACAAAGGAGGTAGCTGGGAGAAGAATTGTACCGGAGTAAGGGAATAACACCAGATGGCAGCTTGATCCCATAGGAGCAAATGAAGAGAACCATAAATAGTAAATAAGAATGTAAATATAACAACTATAAGTATAAACTTGATGGTTTTTCTTTTCTATTTCTTTAGTAGACAAAGAATTATATAAAGCAATAATTACAGCACTATATTGTTGGGTTTATAACATACATAGATGTAATATGCATAACAGTAATTGTATAAAAAAATGAAGACGATGGAATAGAGATTATATGCAAGTAACATTTCTATTCTCACTGGAATTAAGTTAGGATAAATCTGGAATAGATTCTTTTAAGTTAAAAGTATATATGGTAATATCTAGAGCAACTAGGAAAATAAATCAAAAAATGTGAAAAATCATTAAAGAGATTTTTCTATATGAGACATAGAAAACAAAAATAAAATGATAAGATATTTCTAACATACCAATATTATACCAATATACCAATAATATACCAGTAACATTGAATGTGAGTGGATTAAACAGTTTAATCAAAAGGCAGAAATTGTCAGACTGGATAAAAATAAAAAGTAACTCATTTGTAACTGTGTGACAGTAAACTAGGATTGGTAAACTATAGCTTGGTAGACTAAATCTGGGCAACTACTTGTTTTGTAAATAAAATCTTACTGTCATACAGCCAAATCTATTCATTTCTGTACTGTCTGCAGGTGCTTTTGCACTACAATGGCAGTGTTAAGAAGTTGTGACATAGACAATATGGCCTGCAAAGCCTAAAATATTTAGTATCTGATCCTTACAAAAAAGTTTGCTGACTTTTTAACTAAAGGAAACCCAGTGTGGAAGTTCTTCTTAACTGATTCCACTTCGCAGGATAAGAAGCAAGGCCATCATTTAAGAGCGAGAGAAGGAGGTCTTAGAAGTTTGAAGACAGAGATAGAGAAGCATTATTGTTATCCAGGGAAATGTAACAGAGTTGCCCCACAGCACTAAGTACCCACTGGAGGATAGTGGTGAGTAAGCATGCTTCTTTTTGAAAGATACCTGCTTTCCAACAGGTGCTTATAATGGATTATCTGGGTTCCAAAGTTGATTCCAAAGATATAGGAACATGTTCTGATTAAAAATTAAATATCAACCAATAAAAAGCCAAAGTTTTACTACTTTCAAGTGCATAGAATTAAAACTTAGTTTACAACATTTCTGTCTGTGGTTTTAGGGAGGTCTCCATGGAACTTGTTTTAAAAAAGGAAGAATGATTTGTACTGAGCTATCTTATAAAAGAATGAATATTCCAGAAGTTGTACCCTGCCTCCCTCATAGTAAAGCACTGTAATCAAGTCAGATAATCAGAGAGTAAGAAGAGACTTATACTTTTAACCAAAATAACCAATTTTAAACCAGGAGGAAAATCTTATTTATTTTACCCGGTAAGAAACAATTTAACTAATCACAACAAATACTGCCCTACTTATTCTCAGTTTGTAATCTGAAAATTACATTGTATTTGTCAAGGGAGTAAAAATAGACTCAGAAAACACAGATACAGTGGACTGTACAGTATTTCTTTTCCCTAAATAAATAATTATATTTAAAGTACACTAGGGCAGATCACTATTTTAAGGAATTCTGCGATAAATCCTTCTGGAAAGCAAATGTTTTTATCAATTTGCATTTTCATAGTTTGTCCTAATTATTTGAGAGATGCATATAGTTTGGTTTGATTAGAAGAAAAAATTAGCAACCCATTCAGCCAACAGAAGAAATAAGAACATCTTTAAGATGAACTGATGTGAAAGACTACTGTAAATAGACAATCAAGTAGTATGTCTATCATTCTCCTACAGTTTTTTTTTTAAAGAAAACTAAAACTAACATTTATTAAACACCTTCTATTTGCCTGAGCACTGGGCTAGTAGTGAAACATGATCTGTGTGAGAAGTACCTCTTCTATCTGTATTCCAGTTTAGTTCTAAGTCTTGAACTCTTAAATTTAAATGAGGGATATCAGAAAAAAGTTTGTCTTGCTATGGCACTTGGGTTAAAATGTCAGATACCAATTCCTTCCAGTGATACATGGTTGAGTATATCCTCAGAAAAAATAATGATGGTTCAAATTTTGCTGCTTTGGTATAACAAGGAGCTACTACTGCTCCTAATTATATTCCTATTCTGTTCTTCTTTACAACAGTTTTTTTTTCTCTATGCTGAGGTTTACCTTTCAACAGTTGTAGATCAACTGCATCTGTTTTAAGTATGATACTAAGTCAAGCAAGATTAAACTACTATAGTCCTTGCTAAATTGGCCTCCCCTTTTATTACCTTCACTTTAAAAATCTGAATATCATTATTTTGATTTTGAAAAAAAAACCACAAAGAAATAGTGCATTACTTTTTTAGATCGATGTGAGAAATTATATGCCAAATGCCATTCACTTTCATAACATCCTCAAATGTTACATGTGGTACATGTCATATGTGCCCAAATGTACATTACATAAAAAATTCTAATGTGCTTTAGGCTTTCCATACTAGTCTCTAAATTTTCTGCTTTTTAAAATTTACATTTAAAATATTTTTACTATGTTTTTAAACCATAATTCAAAAATTTTATATTTTATTTATCTTTATCCAATGCATTCTCTGGAATACTCACAAATGCGTAATTTCCTCATAATGTTACAAAACTAAAAAATAAGAAATTCCTTATTAAGTAATAATGAAAGGGGAAGACAAGGACTAGGACTAAAAGAAAGCTCCTGATTTATGAATACAAATTCTGTAAGATTCACTGTGACAAATGAACACACTTTTTTAAATGTCAAAGAATATTAAATGAAACTTTTATTTTGAATGTGATTTAGAGTCATATGATAGGATCATACTTAAGAATCACTTATGATTTACTTCTTGGTCAAAATTAACATAAAATATAACAGACTGTATTTTTAACTCAAACTGACAAACCACTTTCTAAAGAAAAACACTCTGCTCTCTGCTATCATAATTTTTCCTATGGAGTACTGGCAAAGAACGCAGTTATATTGTGCCACAAACAGTTAAAAGCAACATTTTTAGGTAATATGAATAAGATATCCATATACTACTCAAAACAAATATTTGCATTATTTTCTCTGAAAAGTTAGTTTGCAAATGAAAAGAAGAAATCCAAATCCGCAGACTGTAATAGCTGTCCTCTTCAAAATTTTACTATTCCATGTAGATACTTCTTCTATTAATGGTATATTAGTTGGGTCATTTTCTCGTTCATTTTGCAACTAAATTGTAGTATGGGAAAAAGAAAAGAGTTAATGTACAGAACACTGAAAGTAAAAATCTTTGATTTTTAAAAATATCAAAATATCCATGTTAATTCACCTGATTTAGCTATAGCCAATGCAAGATTCCCGTAGAAGATTTAAAGTCTTAAAAAATAGTCTTTCTTTCAACCAGGATCCCATTATAATTAGTTATTAGTGTTACATTAAAAATAAGTGATTTTATAAATGGTTTAAAAATTTCAGTGGTTCTTTTAGCACTTCTCAGCAACCAAAGTACATAACCCAGTCAGTTCTAAATTCCCATACATAGAACTTTCTTGCTAAAGGCAGCCCCCCAACTTGTGTCTGTGTGTGTGTGTGAGAGAGAGATAGAGAGGGAAGATAGTTGTTGGTGGGGGAGGAGGGGCAGAGGAGGGAAAGGAGCAGAAACTAAAAGATCCTTGAAAGATAAAAAGAATCAGGCACATTTATAGAGTGATATTTACTAGAAACATCCTCTGGTGGAGTGGTAACATAAATACTTTCAACATTAGCAAGAATAACTACTTCTCAAATCTACAGTGTAAATATTTAAATAAGAAAACCTGCAAAATTAATTTTAAATTTATAGAAGAAAATGGACTTCAATGCCAATTTCATTAATACTGTATTCTTGGTCTAACTTCCAAATGGCTTCATTCAGCAACAGATTCCTTTTTGACACTGATGCTCCATTTACTGAATCCTGAGACGGTCATTCCTTTTATTAACCAATTACTTAGAATGACCCTTTCTGACAGGAACCTGTCAGTGTGTTGGTTTGAAAGAGAATGATGTGGTGTTGGAGTCTAGCCTTGACCTCTCCCACCCTTTCTCTTTGTTACCTCTGTACACTTATCTATGATAACTCATACGGTTTTTTTTTAAATCCCTTTTGTTATTATTGGTAAACTCTGAAATATCATAAGCTTAACAAGCATGATAGCATACTCTCAAATCTGGAAGCCCTCATGCTTCTCTAAACCAAATCTTATTATATTGATTATCACTTGTTTAAGACTAATCCCCAAAAACCAATGCACTAGCTTGCTGCTAAATTAAGACTTTCCTGCCTTGAGAACTATATCTGCCATTACTGTGAACCAATAAATATATTTTCAAGGCTAGTCCTTATATAGAAATGTATAGATTCAAGGTAGAAAAGACCATAGAAAAAAAGACCTTCCATTTAGCTAAAGAAATCTGAAATTTTTCTCTATAGGTATACATTATTAAAATAAATATTATGGTACCTGATTGAACTGTTTATGTTTTAGAGCCAAAGTTACTCCTAGAGCAGTGTTTCTTAATTTCATCCCTTTAAGAAAAATTTGGTCTCTCTCTCTAATTTCATCTCAGCCCTCCACCCTCTCACCCAAGTGTTTTTAGTTCATCTTGGAGAAACCAAATAATTACCAATCCTGAGACAAAGATGTCTTAGGAAATTTCTTACACTAAACACTAAAAGTTGATGCTTTGCAGAAAGTATCTTTACATTAAATCCTTCCAAATTTCCCTTGGGTCCCCATGAAAAACACCATGCTAATAAGTAAAATCAATACCATTTTCCTTCAATGATGATGGAGATAGTGAAGATGAACATGCTATAATTTTCATGTTGTCAGCAAGTTCAGAGAGTAGAAAATCCTATTTTTGCATGAGAAAGTTTATTTGGAGAATGGTGTGGATTAAAGGAACACAAAAGTGGAAGTAGAATAATTAGGAAACTAATGTGTAGCACAGTTGCCTGATACACAGCAGGCACTCTTGTGTTTGTTGAATGAATAAATGTCAGAGATAATACAACTTCTAAGATGCCTGTTGCTCTGGAAAGGAGTTATCGTCTACAAAGATTTTGAAACATATTGCTCATTTGCCCCATTTTAAATGTCTTTATCCTCCCTATAATTTTGTAGAATTTGCTTCATAATTTTGTGCTCACTTTTCTTGAAAAAGACTCCATTTGAATGCACATTGTTAATAGCTAGGAAGACAAATTACCTGGAACATGCATAAAGGTTATTTTAAAGAAAATAACTTTTTTGATAAAATATTAATGAAAATATTAAATGATTTATAGGCTGATACTATAAAAATTTAATGCATAACTAATATTCACATCAGATATTGCATAAAAACTTTATAGATATCGAATATATTTATTAGACTTACAGAACTCAGAAGTGAATTCTTTAGTCAAATGAAAGTGTTTTCCTTTATTATCTACCTTCAACAGTGTTCTACATTTCAGCAGCTTACATTTTTGTTATAGCCAATTTTCTTAAAGGGGGGAAAAATCACCTGTTCTTAAACTGAGATATATATTTCTTTATGAGTATAGAAACAAGAAACAAAAAAAATCCATATGCTTTTCAAAAGTTAAATTATAAAATATATTATAAAAGAGACTAGGATATAAAAGAAATATCTCATCTAAAACTATACCTCATTAACACAGCTAATAAACATTTCATTTGGGTAATTTTTTATCTTCACAATTACATGCAAATAAAAATTAGAAATAAAACTTTTTAATCTTTAACAAATTAATATTTGCTTTTCATTTTTTTCAATTGGCTGCAAATCACTGTAACAAATGGGTATACAATAATTTATTAGATCATTCTCCTAGTATAGACAATTATGGTGCATATAATTTTGCAGTCATTAAACTAGTACTACTCAAAGATGCAAATATTCTTATGGTCCTTGACACATCTTACCAAACTGTTTTTAAAAGAGGTTGTGACATCAGTCTTACATGAAAATATTAGTATGGTGAACTATAAACAGTAATGGATATGGTAATACATTCCCTGATAATTTATAGGATGAAAATGATGTATCATTGTTCTTTCAGTATGCATGTCATTAATGACCAACAAAGTCTGTTTCTTATGTATATTTCTTCCTTTGGAAACTGTTCTTTCCACCTGTCTAGTGGGAGCTTAAGTTGCTCTTGTCAGAACTGCTTCATTGTCTAACATATTATGCTATAAATAATTTTTCCCTCTTTTATTTTAAATACATACCTTCTGAATTAAGTCTTTTAGTTTGTGAACCTCTTCATTCAACTCTTCGACATTACTAACCAGTTCTTCACAAACTGAAGTAAAATTCCGGGGAGAAGCCCATTCTAGTACTATCTGTTAATATTTTCAAAAGTTACATTTTAAAGAATGGGAAACAACTTTTCACAACTTTATAGCCACAAAAATCATACAACATTCTGAAACATTAAATTATATAACTGAAAAGCATTTTTTTTTTTCAGGATAAATCCTTACCCCAAAAGAAGTCAGTAACTTTATATAATTAGTCAAATCAGTTTCCTGAATGCATTTACTAAATATATGTACATATAACTTTATGGAGACTAATATTAGTAATGATAATATTTATGGTGAATAAATAAACTCATGAAGGTTTTAAGAATGACATGATTCCCATATTAGTGTTATATAAAAATCACAGTAAAAAAGTACATTCAGTATTTTTCACTATAGACAAATATCTAAAACCAAATCACAATGAGAAACTACAAAATAAGTTTGCTTTCATAGGTCACTTAAACTTTTTATTTAAAATTTCCTTCATTAAAAAATCCTTAAATTGATACGGTTTTTAATAACACTCAACACACTGTTTTGTTTCAACTTTCACTTGGGTCTCCTGTCACTTTGTATTTTAAACAATTCCCTTTAAGAATAAATGGTAAGTTCAATATACAGATGAGTTTAATTTTTGGTCTGACTCATTTTCCTTTTCTTGAGGGCTAGAACACAAAGTTTTTCAATTAGTATAAAAAGAAGTAATATTAAATAAATTGGCTTATTTAATATTATGTGATTTTGTAGAAGATACGATTTTGCCAGATCACTATTGTTTATTGAATTATCATTAACTTATCTGGAATGTTCTTCAGCATTCATACTTTTCTTCACATAATAACTTTTGTGGAATACCTTGTGAGAATTTACAGGCAACTCAGAAATAATGTTCTGTACAGCTGTTATTAAATGGCCACACTGTCTGTTTAATTTCAGAAGAAAGTTGAGGAACTCATCACCACTAAAGAGAGGAAATAAACAGAAATCATGAATATGAACAATTTACTCCATTCTACTTGGCTAGGTATTTAATGTCTAGTCATAACACTTATTAGATTCTTTAAAAAATATTTACAGAATAGTTAATACATATTAGTAACTGCAGTAGACACTGAGTACACAAAGAAAACCATGTCTCCAGTCTTGAGGATCTCAAAATTCAGGATGAGAGGCAGACGTACAATTATAACATTGTTAGACGTAGAAAACAAACCTATGGTTACCAGGGGGGAAAGGTGGTGGTAAGGGTTAAATTGGGAGTTCGAGATTTACTAACTACTATATATAAAACAGATAAACAACATTTCTACTTTATAGCACAAAGAACTATACTCAATATCTTGTAGTGACCTATAATGAAAAAGAATATGAAAAGAAGTATATGTATGTATATGTATGACTGAAACATGCTGTTCACCAGAAACTGACCCAATCCTATAAACTGCTATACTTCAATTAAAAAAAAATAACAGGGACATAGGAAGAAAAGATATAAAAATCCCAATACTGTGCGTCTATTATGTAAAGGCACTGTACTAAGTTATTTTACATTTATTATTTTTTTAATTTTTCCCAACAACTCCTATAACATATATGTATTAACATGCATTTATAGTTGAGACATCTAAAACTCAAAGATGCTGAACCTAGTATAATGGGAATAGAGATTCAGTAATGGTTCATAGAGCTCATACTTTAATGAGTCTGGAACTTAAAAAATATGTTTGTCAGGTAGGTAAGGAAAAGATGGGATTCTGGATGGAGAATAGCAGATCCAAAAGTATGGGGATGTGAGGTCACCAAGATATAAATAAAGCACAATTATGGTAAAGTAGTAAGAAAGAAGGCTGTATGTGACCATTTACTTAAGAAACTTTTGTGACATGCTAAGGAATTGAATATTATCTTTTTGATAATGTTAAGTTACTAAAGAATTTTAAACAGAAATATAGAAAATCAGATTTTTGTATGAGAAGGTTTATTTGGGGAGGGATATGGATTAAAGGAACACAAAAGTGGAAGTAGAGAGAATAATTAGGAGACTAAAGAAAAATCCACGTAAGAGACAACGAAGGAAAGCTTAACCTAAGGATCTGGCAGTGGCAGTCTGCTTGGGAAGTGCGAGTAGAGTGGTGTAAGTGATGCTGAAGAGAATAAACTGAAAAGCTTGGTGATGGATTGCATACAGAAGAAAAGGAAGAGTCTAGGATGATTCTAAGTTTTCTGGTTTCAGTGGAAGGTGGTACTACTAAGCAAGGAAGTGAATTTGGTGGTGGGTGGTGGAGAAAGAAGTGGGGTGAAGAGAACACAATATGGCATAATAATTAAGAACAAAGCATCAGGAGGACCTGGATTTGAATTCAGCTTCCATACTTACTAGCTTTATGATCTTGGGCAAGCCTAATCTTTAACCAAATGTTTCCATATCTTTAGAACTGAGATGACAAGACTGTCAGGAGTACTGAAAGAGATAATGTATGAAAAGCACCTAGCATTTCGTCTGGTACATGGATGGCATTCAAACAAACTTAATTATGATGACAGTGGTAATGATAAGAGATGTGTAGGTGGCAGTGACCAGCAAGCAGTAGAAAATGTCAGTCTTGTAGGTTCTTATCCTGGGATCCACAGACTCACAAGGCTACACAGAATTCAGGGAGTTGGTGGCCTTACATGGGGAAGAATTACATCTTTATTTTCACTAACCTCTAACAGAAATTTAGTCGTTCCTTCAACTGTAAATAAAGGCACAAACCACAGTAGTATTAGAAGTGTCTATAATTTTTGGTCACCAATGGAAATAAAAATAATGGTCATGGACCACAAAGAAAAGGGTATACATTGCGAAGAGGGGAGAGTTGATAGGGGTGGAAGAGGAAAAGTAGCCTGAGAAAAAGAAACTTAGGAGTTAAGGTCTCTGGTGAAAGGTAATAAAGGGAATAGATTCAAGATAGAGAAAAAGTCAAGTGTGTTAAATAATTAGAATTAGTCCACTGATTCTGAGTGAAGACACACTGGTGACCAGACTAGTTTCAGTGAAAGAAGCCAGAATTCATAGTGAAAGCTATAAAGAAACTAACACAACCTAATAGAAAAGCGGACCAAGGATAAGAATCGGTAATTCAGAGGAAAAGAGAAAAAATTTAAATGGACAATAATCATGGGATTACAATAAAAATGAGATTTTATGTTCTAGTAGAATGACAAATGTGTGAGATGACCTTTCTGGAGAGTATTTAGCGGTATCTACTGTAATAAAAATGTATAAAGAATCTAATACTATGGCACCAAAAGGTACTTCAAGTCCAAATGAAATTCTTACAGGCAGAAGTTTTGACTATGCACTGTACAAAGTTTCTTTCATGTTGTTTCTATGAGGAAAGGTTATAAAAAGCAAGCAAGGTCAACCTCCAATGAAAATTAATAGCAAACTTTTTTTAAGACACGTTGCCACGACTTTTATATAGTATAATTTAAAACAAGTCCTTAGCTATTAGGCTGAAAAAAAACCAGTTTATATAAAATAAAGACTTTAAACTTTATGAACATAATATATATAATCAAGTCACCAACAATGAAAAGTATGTGATGGCTGCTTCATAAAAGCAAACTGAAATAAAAAAAATTTAGATCAGCTTTTTTTCTATTTAACAAAAGGGGTATTTATAAAAACATTTTCAAAATAAATATAATTCTTCTCTATTCCATATTGTCTATGCTTTAGAAAGTACAGAACTTGCCATGTTTCTGTCATTACTTATATTAATTTTTCAGTATCCATGTAATATTTATATAAGGTACACTTATAATTTAGATTTTAGTGCTGTTTCCTCAAATTTTATTATCAATAAAAGAATAATTACTCGGTGAATAATTTATTAATGCTCTATTTTTAATGTAATGATTCCTAAGGAAATTAAGATCCATTGAGAACTGTTCAGTCAAAATATCAAGTAATAGCAGGTATATTATTCTAGATAGGAAATTTATACATATATGTGGAATATAAACTTGTAAGCTCTTATTCTGAAGGAAGATTGATAAGTTTAACAACTCAGTTCAAAGAAGCAAATGATGCTATTAACAAAATTACATAGCCTTAATGAATGAAAGGAAAATATGTACCTTTCTTGCGATGCATAATTTTCAGGGCCACTGAATATGGACAGGCAAACTATAAAAACACAACTCTACAGTGTGCCATTCATCATACACTGTGTGAATGGCTGCCCAGTCTCACCCCAGAGCTGTACAGTACACAACCTACATACCTTTACATGGCAGCCCTGATAATTCTGTACTTATTTAAAGAATTCAAAATAAGCAGATATGGCATAGGTATGGTAGATTAAATTATTTGATCAAATCGTCATGGCTTTTCTACTGAGCCAAATATGACAAGGCCTGTCCCTGTCAGAGGATTACACTTTATGCCCCAATGACATGAGGCCTGGCCACATGACTTGTTTTGGCAAATGAAATATGACTGGAAGTGACTGTGTAACTTTTGAACAGATGCCGGTTCTGTTACCTCTCTTCTCCATTTGCCACAAGAACAGCATGTCTGGGGTGGGGCTGTTTCTCCAGCCTGTTTTCAGAATAATAAGAAGGAAATCCACTGCAGCTGATCCATGATATAGGTGATCAAGACATAAACTCTACTGTTACAATTTATTTAGATTTGGAAGTTATATGTTACTGCAGCATAATAGAATGTAAGCTGACTGAAAAAATAGGCCATATTTTTAAAATGTGATATATCAGGATAAAATTTATACCTTAAATAAGATACTCTAAATAAAAGAATTATATATGCTCATTGTAGAATATCTGAAAAAATATAAAATTACCAATACTTTTATCACAAAGATAATGACTGGTACTATTGTCTTCCAGAGTATTTTCTTACAGTACACATTTTCTTCTTGTATTTTTTGTGTACAAATACACAACTGGCATTATACCTCACACTCCATTTTATACTTGTCTTTTATATTATTATGAGTATTGTTCCATGACATTAAGTCTCAAAATAATTTTAATGACAGAATAAAATAATTATATTGATGTAATGTAATTCAACCATTCACCTGAAGTTAAATATTTAGTTTCTAAGTTTAGAATGTTTATAATTAATAGATGTGAACAATGTATTTTTATGTGAAATTTTGTATCTAGACTTTTGTTTGGAGGAGAAAAAATTTCCTAAGAAGACATAATTTTGAAATGCCTTTGATACATTTAAGTAGATGTCAGATTGGCTCAGAGAAAAGGTCTGGGCAGAAACTACTGAAAATATCAAGACACGGCTAAAACTTATTATTTCTGTTCAAAATATCTCCAAGTAATAATGAAACGGTTATTCATATTTTTAAGTTGCCTTCTCTAATACCGCAAACATACGAAGGCTAACAGTAGAAAAAGTAAATGTATTGTGCACGTGAGTTGTTGTAACAGACTATTTTATACAATTTAACACATAGAAGAAAAGTATCTTAAAATAAATCAGTAGCTAAATTGTTGAAGTCACATTACCAGAAGATTATAATCAATCAGTTCAACTTTTCCTGCTGTTAGTTTTCTTATGACTTAATGACTAATTTCTCCTTTAAAGAATGACTTTGAACAAATGGGAAGTAAAACCTTTTCCATAACAGCATGTAAACAAAGTCTGTGATTTAATAACAAGGTCAAATTCCTGAAATATATGTCTGCCAGTTTTATTTTTTAAAAAATTCAGCAGTTTTAATAAGTGAACCATTCAGGATTCTGTACATTTTGTAAGTCTATTAAATCTCACAGTGGAAATTCATAGAGGCAATTCCGCCATCATACAAATAAGTTATATTAAAAAATTTAACTTGCAATCAGTCATGTAGAACTCAGAATATTCCTTCATAGAAACAATAAATTAAAAACAAAAAAAAATGAATAGAAAGATTCAAGGTTTGCTGCTTTAAGTCCTCACAACTGAAACCCTTTACAATGTACTTCAAAATTTTAGAGCAATAATGTTATTTTGAAACAATGATGAAGCTTTATTTTGAATATATATCATCTTGTTATAAGGAAATAAAAATATTAAGAGAAAGGGAAATAATTTAACTTTGTAATAAAAATTTTTAAGAAATCTGGATCATCTAAATCATCCCCTGGAAGACTTCTCTAAATTCTAAAATGGTGTAGAAGTCTATTATTTCTGTGTTTCATTGATGTTTCTCATAGTTGAAATGTTAGTTTTACACAGGATACACTAGTGATGATACTACTGCATTTTTAAGTATTATATTTTATAGAATATAATTTAGATGAATTTCAAGGAAATTAGGCTGATTGAAAAAAGCCAATCAAAAAAAGGGTACATACTGTATGACTGCATTTATGTAACATTCATGAAATAACATCATAAGGATAAATAAAAAATTACTGATTGCTAGAGGTTAAGGATGGGGTAACAGTGGAGGGAGCAAGAAGGGGTAGTATGAGGTAGTCTTGTAGTGATGTTACGTTAAGTATGTTGCTTGCAGCAGTGGTTACGGGAAGATATACACTTGATAAAATTGCATAGAGATACATACATACACACAAATGAGCACATACATAACTGATGAAATACAAATAAGCTATGTCAGTTGTACCAGTGTCAGTTTTCTTTTGGTATTGTACCATAGTCATGCAAGATATTAACACTGGGTGAGGCTGGGTGAAGGGTGCACAGAACCTTCCTGTATATCTTTGTCATTTCTTGTGAATCTATAATTATTTCAAACAAAAAGTTAAAAAAATCATTTATTGCTCCACAATATATTATTTAAATCAAATACTATTATTTTCAAAATAAATTTTAGATTACTAATATTACTAGTAATTGGTGCTTGACAAGCTTATAGTATTGAAAATGAACTTTATATATGGAGAACATAATTTCATAAAGAATAAGGCTGAAAATAGACCTGAGGTTCATGAGGAATGCTTTCTTATTGCCCTAAGCAAAAACATTACTACTTTGAATTTTCAATTGGACATTTAAATGATTTAAAGAGAGTATGAGCTGTGCTATGAAAAGCATGGGATCTTTCAATGAACTCATTTAACAAAATGCAACGAAAAAATAAAACAAAAAATGTTTCTGTATGAGTTAAGAAGATACACTGTTTTGCTTTTTGGTAAAAATTGACTTTATAGAGTACTTTCCATTTCAGAACACAGTATACTGCAAAATGAACTATCCATATCTCTGGGAAAATGAGGGTATCAAGTAAAATGACTCAGATGTTATCAAAATTAAACTAAAAAAGAACAGCTGGTTCTAAACAATATTAATGTAAACCAGTAAGTTAATTTTACCTGATTTCCAACTTTGCCACTTCAGGTAATTCTCCAAATTTTATCTCTTCTACCTCTAGTTCTTCAAGAGCAGCCAGAATTTTCTGCTGATCTCTACTGGTAATTCCATTCTAAGTAGAAATAATTTTAAGGTGCAATAAGGTAGTCAGACATGAATAATATTCAAAATTACTGAAAAAGCTATCTAATTGACTAATTCACATCTTGAGGAAATAGATACATATTGGATAAAATAACATACTGAAAAATACACAAGTTTGCTTCTAACTGTGACGGACAAGGTTATATCATTAAAATAGTAACATATATTGTGACTATAGTTAATTTTTTTGCATTGTATAACAATTTTGATGGATTCTAAAAACAAATTACTGGATTTTAATATATCATCTTTCCAGAAAGCTAGAGTAAGACAGTTTTTCGTTTATTTAAAATATTAACAATGATTAAGTGAGAATTAAATTTTCTTTTTGTCTGTGTTCTACCTTTAGTATTAACTAAATTTTCTATCCTAGATTTGGCTCTAAGGTGTATGTTTGATTTTCAGTGATACTAAAGATTTCAAGTTTCCAATGTGTTCATGCTGGAAAATCATTACTTTCTTGGTATCCTATTTATTAAAGTTTCTCTGATATTTCCCACAGCTATTTTCAAATGGTTAATAATACTAGATGGTAAACAATAGGTCTTGATCATTTTGAATACCCAGCAAAGGACGGTATTTGAACAACACTGTTCATACCCACATATACAAAAAATTACCTCTTATTTCTAAGTAACCTGTTTCATACTGTCTTACAAATCTATTTCATACTGAGAAATGAAGCACTAGTTTTAGTTGAGATGTCATAACTAATCTGAAGGAAAAAAACCTCTAAGTCTTCAAAGGTTCTTAAAGCAACTTAATACTGTAATGGAAGATTTTAGATATGCTTATCCATAATCATATCTAATCAGGAACCTAGCAAAAGATCACTCAGTCTATAACTGTAGGATTTTGAAAACAGAAAATAAAAGGATCCAAAATTTTAAAAATATGAAAGATGATGCCCGGAGTTTTTGAGTCTGATACTAACCTTTGTAAACTCATCTTTCCTCATGGTCAGAAGGTGTCTTAAAGTTATATCCCTTTCCTGCAGAAAAGAAAACAATGCCACCTTTCAATATAAATATAACAGTAGAAGGAGAAGTAGGCAAGTGTACATAAGTTAGTCAGTCATATGCTACCTTCCTAAACAACGTCCAGCTTTCTAGAGGGGATAGGATGGGCGGAGGTAGAACTACATTATTGGGTAGATAGTAATGAGTATGTATGTATAATTACCAAAAAAGTGTAAACCTAGTTTTCCAGATTCGAAAAAAAAATGACAACTTATACGGATGCTTACACGAAAAGAAAAATAGCTCTGTAAAACTCGACAGAAATTATATTTTATGAATATTTTAAATTTCTAATTGTATAATATTAAACAATCAACATTTATTTTTACTCAATGTTTCTCAAATAGGAAGTTTCAAGATTGAACCCCAATTCTGAACTACCTAAATAAAATGCACATATTCCTAAGGAGAGCCTATCTTAAATAGTGCTTTACTGCTTCAGGATCAGCTAAATGGCTGATAATTGTCATCTACTCAAATCTCATAATGCATGCCTAAAATGCCTACCAGAGTGCTTGGCATATGATCTAACATAATCTTTTTAAAAATAATTAATTAATTTTTTATTGAAGTACAGTCAATTACAATGTGTCAATTTCTGGTGTACAGCACAATGTCCCAGTCATATATATATATATATATTCATTTTCTTTTTTTTCATTAAAGGTTATTACAAGATATTGAACATAGTTCCCTGTGCTATAGAGAAGAAACGTTTTTTAAAATCTATTTTTATATATAGTGGCTAACATCTGTAAATCTTAAACTCCCAAATTTATCCCTTCCCACCCTCTTTCCCTGGTAACCATAAGATTGTTTACTGTGTCTGCAAGTCTGTTTCTGTTTTGTAGATGAAGTCATAGTGTCCTTTTTTTTTTTCCAGATTCCACATATAAGTGATATCATATGGTATTTTTCCTTCTTTCTGGCTTACTTCACTTAGAATGACGATCTCCAGGTCCATCCATGTTGCTGCAAATGGCATTATTTTATTCTTTTTTATGGCTGAGTAGTATTCCATTGTATAAATATACTACAACTTCTTTATCCAGTCATCTGTCAATGGACACTTAGGTTGCTTCCATGTCTTGGCTATTGTATATAGGGCTGCTATAAGTACTGGGGTGCATGTATGTTTTCAAAATTAGAGTTCCCTTCAGATATATACCCAGAAGTGGGATTGCCGAATCATATGGTAAGTCTATTTTTAGTTTTTTGAGGAATCTACATACTATTTTCCATAGTGGCTGCACCAAACTACATTCCCACCAGCAGTGTAGGAGGGTTCCCTTTCCTCCACACCCTCCATATTCCAAAGTTTGAGGACTTTTGAATGATGGCCATTCTGACTTGGTGTGAGGTGATACCTGATTGTAGTTTTGATTTGCATTTCTCTGATAATTAGTGATATTGGGCATTTTTTCATGTGCCTATTGGCCATTTGTATGTCTTCATTGGAGAATTGCTTGCTTAGGTCCTCTGCCCATTTTTGGATTGGGTTGTTTGGTTTTTTGTTATTAAGTTGTATGAGCTATTTATACATTCTGGAAATTAAGCCCTTGTCAGTTGCATCATTTGCAAATACTTTCTCCCATTCCGTAGGCTGTCATTTTGTTTTGCTTATAGTTTCCTTTGCTGTGCAAAAGCTTGTAAGTTTAATTAGGTCCTATTTGTTTATTTTCACTCTTATTTCCATTGCCTGGACTGACTGCCCTAGGAGAATGCTGCTAAGATTTATGTCAGAGAATGTTTTGCCTATGTTTTCTTCTAGGTGATGTATCATGTCTTGTTTTATATTTAAGTCTTTAAACCATTTTGAGTTAATTTTTGTGTATGGAGTGAGGGAGAGTTCTGACTTCACTGATTTACCTGCTGCTATCCAGTTTTCCCAACACCATTCGCTGAAGAGACTGTCTTTTCTCCATTGTATATTCTTGCCTCCTTTGTCAAAGATTAGTTGACCATAGGTCTGTGGATTTATTTCTAGGCTCTCTATTTTGTTGCATTGATCCATATGTCTGTTTTTATGCCAATAACATGCTGTTTTGATTACTGTGGCTCTGTAATATGCTCTAATATAATCTTTAGGACAATCCTGTGCTACATATTATCATTGTTAAGAAAAAAAAGATTTAAGTAATATATCTGAGTTAATAATCTTCAGAGCAAGAATCTGATACCAGGTTTGTCTGGTTTAAAATCATGCTTCTAATATTCTATACAGGAAAATCAGCAACTGCAAAAACAAACTGAGGGCTTAGATGTACAAGGAGTTCTGTGAAGCTTTAGGCAGTAAGTGAAAGCTGTTTAATCCAGCCAGATTCTAATATTTTTTGAAATGCTTGTAAGTTTAAAAAGGTATATACTCCTAATTATGGAGAAAAGTACATCTGTCACTCTTTCATAAGCACGCTTATGAATTAATATTTAATGTTACGTTAAGCAGCAAATAAACATGCATACATAACTCATCGTAGCTTATACAAAATCTTACCTTCAATAAATCTGTCAAATGTTCAAGTCCAAGTCCATGTAAAAATATTTCCAGATCTCCAAATGCTGTATATGAACTATACATATTTATAGCAATGTCAATTTCAGAACAGACTATAAATGCACAAATAATATATATTTATAATGCAGAGAGAGAATGAGAATGAGTAAAAATGTGTCTATGTAGAATATACAGGCATACCTCGTTTTATTGTGCTTTGCTAATTGCATTTTGCAGACATTGCTTTTTTTAAATAAATTGAAGGTCTGTGGCAACCCTGTTGCAATCAAGTCTATCAGTGCCATTTTTCCAATGGTATTTGCTCACTTTGTGTCTCTATGTCATACCTGAGTAATTCTTGAAATATTTCAAACCTTTTCTTTATTATTATGTTTGTTATGGTGATCTTTGATCAGTGATCTCTGATGGTACTACTACAACTTGCTGAGGCTCAGATGATGGTTACCATCTTTGAGCTATAAAGTGTTTTTTAATTAAGGTATGTACATTGTTTTTGTAGACAGGGTACTATTACACACTTAACAGACTACAGTAGAGTGTAAACATAACTTTTATATGCACTGGAAAACCAAAAAAACTTGTGTGATTCATTTTATTGTGGTATTTGCTTTATTGCGATGGTCTGGAACTGAAGGCCAATATCTCTGAGGTATGCCTGTATTTACAAATTTACACACCAGAACTATGTTATATAAAAGGAATAAGAAAGATCTTTTAAGTGAAGATTTAAGGTAAACAGAGAAAATGTTAAAAAAAAATTTTTTTTTAATTTTATCTTATGAAGTCAGAAATTTGCCATAAATAATTAGAAAGCAAGATGCAGTCTAGGTTGAACACTAATAAAAATATAATCTTAGAACCTTTTAGAAATAAATTTTATAGTTGATATTTTATTTAAAGTCAAAAATGATTCTTATTACTGTTGGTAAATGAATACAGTTTTTCTAAAATTCTGGAGAACAAAAAGCACCTGAAACCCAGACATTTCTAAGTAATATTTTTAAATGCTTATAAAAATTTAAAATATCATAAATTTTAAATGTCATCACGTTTACTATAAGTAATAAAAACATGCATAATTTTTACTCATTTATAGGTATTATGTGGAACAAAAATATGTTGTTACCTAAATATGTGATCTTTTTCTTTATCAGAATCCATTCTCAACAGTTTACAAATTGTTTCTTCTTTAGTTAGCTGTTGAGGCTTTCCTCCCAAAGGATTTAAAGTCAAGGAAAGAAAGTTGAAGATCTGAAAAAAGTTATAGTAAAAATTAAAGGAAGATAGTAATTAACAATATTTTCAGTAAAATATAAAACAGAATCAGAAAGATTAAGTACTAAGGTAGTACTTTAAATACACTGTCAAGTAGATAGGAATAAGCATGACTAATGAACCCAGATCTCAACTGTACACCTCAAAGAGATGTAGTGAAACTCCTTAGTTTTAAAACTTCTTAGTTTTAACTTTCTAGTAAGTCAAGGTTACGTCATATAATCAGCCAAAATGCAAAATCAAATCTCACTTTAAGAAACAATTTATGACTCAAAATAATCTGTGATGTTCATAAATTTCTTAATATGTCAAATTCAGTGTTATCTACCTTAAATTTAATCATGCAGTAAATTAATTAAAAGTTTTCAAATTTCCAAAGCTTAGAAGAAAAACTCTTAAATTTCTTTTTAAAGTTTCGCAGGGCTGCAGTGATTAGCATTTACTCTAGAGTAATTTTGGAAATGTAGATTTGAGTTAGAAAATGATAGGCATGTTTATAGGTACCTTAAAAAATAGAGAAAGTTATTTTACTTGCAGTAAAAATGGCATAGTCTGATTATCGTATGATGGAACCTTTGGAATGTCATAAGCTTTCAAATTCAGAAACTCAGTTTTAGAAGATCTTGAAATATATAACTTAGATTTACAGTTGTACTTTATTTGATACTTGCTTAGAAATTACAGACCTTTGGCTGAAAGCTTTAATACTCAGACCAAAAGTTTATATCAATAAAGTAATTTAATGTATGGCAAATATTTATTATTGACTTAACATCTGACTGAGAGTAAATCAAAAACTCAAGTATGTACCACTTTATTATTTGCACTGTCACATATATACAAGTAAATATACTTTAAATGATTTAATTTTTAAATTGTCTAATGTATATTAATTGAAATTTTATAGCAGTAGTTTAATTACACATTCACATTTTGAAATTTTATTAGCTTTCTTAATACACTAATTTTTGAAATTCTGAACCAATTGAAAATGTTTAAATAAGTAGTCTCTTATAGTTTTATTTCTAGGGCCAGATGAGACTTTACTATTCCTTTGCATAGGTTTTAAATTACTACATTATAAATGCCTCTATATTTAGTAAAAGATGAATAGTCTAGTGAAATAAAGTTTTATTATTTATTTATTATCTGGCTGGAAGAAAATTACACATTTAAACATTTAATAATAGCCACAAACACTATTATTACTGCTGTGAATTCTAACAAATAATACAAAAGTTCTCCAAATGAAAATGTGGATCAAGAAAAATTAATTTAACATATAAGATACCTCTATATGTTTACTTCTTTTTGCAATCTCGCTTGGTGTCTTTCCATCTTTGGTTTGTAGCATTTTATTAGCTCCGAGTTCAAGCAACTTCAAAACTACATTTTTATGACCCTGACGTGCTGCCCACGTTAAAGCCTGTAAGTGGGGGGAGAAGACTGTTTAAAGAAAGGGAGTGTATGTGAGACAGAGAGGAAAACTTTTCAACAGTATTTATGGCACAATAAAAAAGTGAACATCGTTAATTAATGGAATGATGCAATCTCTTCATTTCACAGCATAACGTAAACATATTTCCAAAGTTGTAACTGCAAAGCAGACTGCCAGTGTTCACTGATTTTATAAAACCAAAATGTTTTACACAGTCAAGTGATGTTATAGAATAAAAAGATTCATCTGCCAATCACAGAGCTGTTTTCTTTAAAAAAGAATTCGATGTGTAATCTAGAGCCCAGGCGTTGTTGTGTGTCGCAGCTTCTTGTGTCAAGGGTGAGGACCAAGAGAGTCAAACAGTTTCTTTTTTTTCCATTTAAGCTGCTGCTTTTCTTCACTGAACAGCAATTGTATCTCAGCCCTTACTATTAAGTAATTTTTACTTCTTAAAACCTTTCTTGTGGACTACTGATAATAATAAGGTATCAATGTCTTAGAGATAAAAACAGATATTATACAGTTGATTCTCACAGAATAACCATTCTCATCCTGGGCATTAACTTCTGCACCATGAGCAACAAGGACAGCAACAACCTGAGGGTGACCGTCTCGTGCAGCATACATGATTGGGGTCATCAGTCTCCTAAGAGGGGAAAGAGAAGAAACATTTGTGTCAATGCTGCCATTAACAGTTATTCAAATCCTTGAATTTTACTGTGAACACCACCATCAGGATTGCTTTGAAAGCAAAGAAAAAGAAGTGAAAGCTTTTAATAAATCAGGTGATCTAAAAATCCAATCTCCCAGCAAATAAATATGAAGGAAATGACACTTTAAAAGTATTGAATGCTTACACAGCACCCTCTAGTGAAGAAATGTGTGTTTTTTTTAAATCACTAAATAAGCCCTACTTCCCAATAGGAGGTTTCATTAATTTATATACCCATGCAGAAAAATACCAGAGTACCCTCACCGTGCTTTTGCTGGGGACATAGTGATGAATGACACATATAAATGACACAAATGACATCCTCTCAAAATTACTAAATACTTACTGCATTTTAAAAATTACATTTTATTTAATAAAAATGTAAGTTTTAAACTCTTATTTCTTAATGTATTCTATTATGACTTTACTTTCATTTAGGATTAAAAAAAATTTTACCCTGACTTGGAGGCTTACTCTAATCAAGAAATAGATCAGTCCAATAGTTTAGCCAGACTCTGAGATTACGTTCTGGGAGAGCATAGTGGTTTCCCTCTGGTGTACATTTCTCAAAATCAGAGATTCAATCTCTCTATTCCTAGAATTCAGTCAGCTTCTGGACCTAATTACAAAGGATACCAGAAAGATTCTTTTTTTTTATTCCAGAAAGATTCTATTAGTTCTACTTGGGCTGAACCTTAGTATCATGTTCTGTTTTAAAGGAGGTCTGAGATTCTGGACCTAATCATCCTGAGTCACCTCAAATATCTGATTCACACACAAAGACCTTCACAAAAGAACAACAAATTAATTTCAGAATTCTCTGTTTTGATCTCATTAAAGAAGTTAACCTTGAATACTTGCATTACACACACTACCTATAAATAGAATATTTCTCTGTAAGGTTTGTTAACGTAAGGTATATCCTGAATCTGATCACATCAATGTCTCTAGCACAAAAAGTTTCATGCATTTATCTGTTTCTTCTCTTTCCTTGTATATTACAATTTCAGTGTTTTATTGGAAAGTACATGCTAAGGTAGTTGTCAAACGTTGCCTCTTCTACCTTGAATATCTCCTACATAGTGGCTTGATTAAACAATTTTACAAAGTGAAGAGTGAATTTCTGGATAGCTTAAGCAAATAGGGAAAATAAATATATACAATAGAACAAAATTATTTGAGTCAACTAATTATTCAAATTCTTTTCTAAGGCTTACTCAGACCTCTTCATGCCTCTCCTCCACCCCACCTCCCCCACAGCAGCCCAAATCTGCTCCTTCCAATCTTCTCTATTTCACAAAGCTACCATTACCCACATAACTCAGTCCTAAGACTAAACATCAGTCAAGACTCTTCTCCATCACTCCATATACAAGTCGTCAGCAGGTCCTATTGGCTCTATCTTCATAACAGATTTTGAATCTAACCACTTCTTACCACCTTGTTAGTCACGATAAGCACTCTGAGCCATCATTATATTCCTCTGATCTATATTACTGCAACAGCCTCATAGATGCTCTCCTTACTTCTACTCTTGGCCACTTACAGTTTATTCTCTTTGAAAATACCGAGTCCTTCCCTTTTCAGGGGCTGTGCAAGTGCTGTTCCCTCCACTTTGCCTTGACCTTCATATTGTGCACTCCTTCATCTTGTTTAGAGAAGGTAACATGAAAGAGTGAGTGTTCCATTTGCTTGAAACTTATTATTGAAAATTATAACTAAAATTTTCTGAAATTGTACTGAAAATTGAGGTTCTTCTAAATATGAATTTCTCTTAGAATCTCAGAAACCAGCAGGTATATAATTTTCTGTCTGTAAATTCACAAGGAAATAAAATGGCTCTGTACAGATGCTTTTTTCCTCCTAGAAAAGAAAACTTCCAGACTAGTACAGTCTGCTGCCTAAGAAGCTTCTGATCACTTCTGAAAAATGTTAGAAAAATGCTGCATTGGTTTCTAACTTCTAAGAAAAGTTGAATTTACTGAATGGAACAGCAAACCACTATAATAGGGCCTAGATTACCTAGAAGGTGTTACTACTCAGCTTCTAAAAGTTATTCAAGTTACTGATACCATCAATATCATGGCAGTTTTGAGAGGGGAGAAAACAATTCTTCCACTGGTTTTGTATATGTGGAAACCTGTAACATCTGTAGTTTCCTGGCTGTTACAGATTAACGAAACCTGAATTAACTCTTCAATCTTACAAACTCTTATGAACTTATGAACAATCTTATGACCTCTTTAGGGCAGTTATAAAACTTTAAAATAACTTGTTTACTCAAGTGATGTGGTAACTATTTGAGCTAGATAACTTTACTTTCAATATTAACTTCCATCTTACTTATTTCCTGAGATTTAATGTAAAGAATTCTATACTTCCCATTCTCTGTTTAAATCACTACAATTTTGTTCTGCCTGCTCCTTCTAACACACAACTGCTTTTGTAAAGGTCAACAGTTATTTGGACTCCTTTTATTTTTCTAGCACCTAAAAGTATGTATTTCAGAGGCTTTTGTCCTCAATGATCTTCCCTTTTAATGACATAAACACCATACGTGAATGATCTTACCTACTCTCATGAATATCATTAAGACACTGATTGCTGCTGAATCTGCATCTCTAGGTCAGGCTTTGCTCCTAAACTGCAGATCATCTCTGTCATTGTCACTTGGTACCCTACAAAACTCTAAACCAACACATACCAGAATCTTAAGTCACCATCTTCACTCCAACACTCCAGTACTCTCTGTTATTACCTATCTCTGTGAACAGCATCACAATCCTAGCATGGACCAACGCAGAAACCTAGAATTTATCCATGACTCCTCATGCCTTCATATCTAAACCATCATCCCTGTCAGTTTTACCTCCTTCCTATCATTTGTATGTGTCTACTTCCCTCTCTCCTCCTTCTCCCAGATGTTCAAGTCTTCATCACTTCTCACGTGGATTACTGCATGCAACAGCATCGTAACTGGCGTCCTTTGTCTTCAGTCTTTCCTCCACACTTGTAAATCACATCAGATCAATTTGCTGTTTAAAGTTTTCAAAGTTACATCTATGAGAATCTTCAAGACAAGTCCTCTTTCTCCCTCTCTACCATTTTAGCACCTGTAATCCTACTCCATTGTATCAGGAGACTTCAGTCATATCTGCAGGTATGAATTCCAAAGTCTCTCTCCACCGGATGACCTATATGCAGAGCACTCTGGTTAAAATGTCTTTTCATTTTTCTCTTCAACAAACTTACTGATAATCTGCCTCTGGAGTTTTACGTTAGAAACCAACATGCCCCCCCGATTTTTTGATGCCCCACCTCATCTTGGTTAGCAGTCCCCCTCTCCTCACTTTCTCATAGCACTCTGTGCTTATTTTTATCAGTTCACCTTTCAGGCCAAAATGTACTGTTCAATCCATCTATTTTCTCTACTGGACTTTTAAGTTCTTTGAGGCTAATGACCCTGACCTGTCTCCAAATCCATCCCCCAACTCATGCAGTAACTAGTATAATGGTCTGCTTCTGTTTTTGTCATGCTTTCATGTAATATAGGTGGGGTTTTCTCCTTATCATCATCACATGTTTACTGATTGCATTATTCAATGTATCTGTATCTTTACTCATTTTACATATATTATTAGATCTGCCTAATAAGAGATATGTGTTGAAATTTCCTGCTGTAATTGTATTTTGGTCTACTTCTAAAATTTTAATAGGTTTTGATTTATGGATTTAGTAGTCATATAGTCCAGTGTATACAGGTTTGTGCTTGTTGTATTTTCATTGATTTTGCGTTTCATCATACTACAAAGTTCTTTATTCTGTTTATTGCATTTAATATTAGTAATATCTGATATTGATAGTCCTGATTTCTGTGGGTTTACCTTTACCTATAAAGGGATCTCTTATACTCTTTTTCCTTCAACTTTTCTTGTAATAGCATTTAGTCATCTTTTGTTTTTTTAAGCTAGCGTCTCAGTTGAAAATTTCAATCCATTCTCATTTAGTGTAATAACTGACATAATTGACAGTATTTTTTCTCTTTTGTTTTTGTTAGTGCAACAAAATTAACTACATTTTCCCCTTGAAAATCTGATGACTCTGCTTTTCCTTTTTTAAAATAAAAAACCATTAAACATTATTGTTTTTCTGTTCTTAGTAAAACACATATGACTCTCTTATATATAAGCAAGAGAAGACCTATGTGGTCTCCTCCACCACCATGGCCCAGTTCTCCCTATGTATACTCTACTAGGATGAGGCCTTCTGAATACCTTTCATTCCTCTTTTTCTCTTAGGTGCCCCCCCACTCTCTGCAAACTATAGCTCTTAGATTTTGTTGGCATAATTTAGTACTTAATAGATTTTTACTTACATTTTGTTTTGTCTGTTTACAGGATCCTTATTTAGCACTCATAGTTCACATTCCCAGTCAACACTATCTATTAAATACACACTCATCAAAGTTCATCCCTCTCACTGCTTCCTCTTGATTCATCCTCTGCCTTCACGAGGTCTCTGGTTCTTTTTTGGTTTGGTTAAGAGTCTTTTCTGAAGTATTTTCCTCAGCTGAGTTGCTTGGGTAATGTACTTTCTGAGTGCTTACATATCCTTGACCATCTTTCTTTCACCCTCACAGGCATATCGGACCCCAGCTTGGTTGAGAATAAGATCTTTGTCTAAGTGAAAATGTAATTTCACTCTTTTCTAGTTTCAGCTGTGCCCATGAGAAGTCTGATGCCACTCCAACCTTTTTACTTTCCTTTGTTAAAAACTTAATTGTTTCTGCCTGGAAGCTTGTAAAAAATTTAATCTTTGTTTTTAGTTTACACATTTTAACCAGAATTTATGCCCAGGAATGTCTTTTTTCTTCTTCTTCTTCTTCATCAGTCCAAACTGAAACTCAAAAACTTTTCCAAAATGCAGTCTTTTTT